ACTTAATTTTATTTAAAGTTAGTTGACTAGTATGGACTAGATTACCCGAATGGAACATTGAATTTACTTTAAATTCATTCAGTGAAATGTTTACAAATACATTCTTCCTCTTTAATAAATCATATGGTTCACTTGCTATTGTTTGGCTTGTATCTTCCCATTAAGGTTTAAGACTGCAATTGGTCAGTCCGTTATTGGCATATGTACATACTGTGCGTATGCCTCGATATTGCCTTAATTCACAAGCTTTTTGTAAGCAATGATCGACAGTGACTACCAGTGGGATAGGACGAAATACGCGTCCTGGATTCCACTGCTAGCCACTATCCATCATTGCTTACAAAAATCATATGGTTTATATAATGAGATAGGTTTTAAATAATCTAAATGGATTGTTGTTTATACTCTCCCTTCCTGTGTCCCTCTCACTTTCTTTTGTTTTTTTTTGTCTAATGATTACAAATGTAATGTATCATACGTTTATGTATCATGTGGAGGAGGAGGGATTTAACTACAGTTTAGGATATAAAAAAGTGATGATACCTTATTTTCTATCTGATCTGATCTGATCGGACTGAAAAAGCAAATGTATTGGAGTTCAATTCCGATTCTAATTCATATTTTAATGTTAGTAATTATAGTTGTATAGTGAACGAGAACACAAGTAGGTACAATCGAATGCAACTGAATATAAAGCAATTAGTCCCTTTTATAAATTTCGATAAAGCAATTAGAAGACGGAGTTGATCTGGGAAATGTGATGTATTTTCGTGACATACATTTCGAACCATCTGGTCACACATACATTTCACATGTTGAAATCATGTATCAATTGAAGCTAGACCACCATGGAAAACCTGGAAGCACTGGACGGACGTTTCGTCCTGGTATGGGACTCCTCAGCAGTGCGCATCCATGATCCCGCACCCCGCGAGATTCGAACCCAGGACCTATCAGTCTCGCGCCAAGCGCTTACCAGTGGAGTTCAACCAGACCTGTTGTGAGATGTCAGTTCACTGAAGACAATGGTACACGGTGGCGCAACTTCGTAGATTTGTTGAATTCAGACATTAACACCATTGGATGTCGGCTCAGTGGTCTAGTTGTTTAAGCGCCTGACGCGAGACTGATAGGCCCTGGGTTCGAATCTCGAGGGTGCCGGATCGTGGATGCCCACTGCTGGGAAGTCCCATACTAGGACGGAACGGCTGTCCAGTGCTTCCAGGTTTTCCATGGTGGTCTAGCTTCAATTGATACATGATTTCAATCTGTGAAATTTCTAAAATCTCCACAAACACATATATTTGTCAAGACATTTTATATGAAATTTAATAAATCAATACAAAATTACAGAATATCTTAATAAAATCTGAGAATCATACAATAAATTCTTCATTTGCAAATTATCAGTCAATTGTGTCAAACTTGACTGTTCATTCTGCAAAATGTCAATCACTTGTCCCAGACTTGATTGTCTTTTTGTTTCCACATCAATCATTTTTTGTTCTCATTCTCTTTCTTTTGATCTTCTTAACCTTCTGTTTCCAGGCATTTCATTTTCGATTAATGATGTATACTATTTATATCTGTCGATATCAGTAGCAAGCATCACAGTTCTATTTAAATTCTTTTTTGAAGTTATCTATCATCAATGAATTGAATCGCCTAGAAAATCGTTGAGTAGATGAAACATAATCGATATTGATGTTTAGCATTGCGTACTTGGTATCTGACTAGATCAGATACTAAAAATTCATATCTAGATAGAATCCAACTACCATTAGGCTGATGATTTTGAATACAGTAATTAACTTCATTAAGAAAAAAAAGATTAGATGGTAAACTAACAGGGAAAGTAGTGAATATTGAACAGCTGTTCTGTCCGACTTTAGAACTCTTTCGTTAAGACCTAATACAGGATGTAAGCCCAGGTAATCCGGGTTTCATGAAGTGTAAAATGTGTTTAAGCTAACATTTTGAAGTTCAGTATAGCACATTTCCTACTCACGACGAAATGCAACCTAACTTATTTCGTTTAAGAACTTAAAATATACACTTCTCATTGTTGGCATATGGAATACTGTACTTATTTGGTATTTAGTTCATGTTATAGGCAAGGAATTTTTAAGTTGAACATTCGAGGCACATAAATTCCAGGATATAATTTTTTTGAATGAAAAGAATTATAGGATCATATACGTCAATCAACTTGTTTTCTTACACTGAAGAGCCAATATCTTCATATCTGTCGATGTTCCTAGCAAAATAAGAAAAAAAGTAAACCTAAGTCAGTACTTCGAGAGATATGATAATGAACGACATGAGCTAGATATATACTTGCTTTCACCTTAATTATTCTTTTCCTGGTAGGAGATACAATTAAAATCGGGATTACTGTAAATTATTTATTTATGACGAGTCAAAACCAGGATGAAGTCTAGATTCAATGCTTCCTTCCGATACCCTTCAACCGTCTAATATCCACCATGAAATATGCGATCAACTACTTCTCAGAATAAAACTATTATCTCCCAGACTGCAATCAATGAGTCTTTCCCCAACGGATACTAATTATTGTATAATTCATTGGAATATAATGATTTCATTTCCATTTACATCTTGAAGTTACAAAACTCTAGTTCTCAGAGTGGAAGCGAAAAGTAATTATCGATCCTCACTGAACAACCACGTCTTCATATAACTAGTGAAATAATGAATTTAAAAAATCACTGAACAGATTCACTGTTTGATGATAGTTAGAACAACATGAAAGCAACCTTCAGTGCATTATTCCCAAGTTATTTGTATCATTACTATCGTTTGCTGATTAGATTATTTGTTCATTATTACTACTGACTACGATGATTCTTATCGTTTATTATCATTATCATTGTCTTCATTGTCATCGATACATTAACTTGGTTAACATAGGTTACGAAATCACATTTTACTGGTCATTTTCTAATGATCTATCAGTTTATAATAAATATGTATTTGTGATATCTTAAATTACGCCCACCAGTATCCTCCAACACACTCTGTCCTGGGCCTTCCTTTCTAGTTCTATCCAATTTTTGTTCATTCTTCTCATGTCTGCCTCCATTTCTCGGTGTAATGTGTTCTTTGGCCTTCTCCTTTTCCTTTAACCTTGAGGATTCCAACTGAGGGCTTGAGTTGTGACGCAGTTGGTTGCTTGCCTCAGTCTATGTCTTATCCACTTACAGCTCTTCTTCCTAATTTTTTCATCCATTGGAATCTGGTTTATTTTCTCTCATAGTAGGTTGTCACTGTCTGATAGTGTCTGGCCAACGGATACGAAGTATTTTGCGTAGACAGCTGTTAATGGACACTTGTATTTTCTGGATGATGGCTTTCGTAGTTCTCCAGGTTTCCGCCCCATACAGTAGAACTGTGTTGACATTTGTATTGAAAATCTTGACCTTGGTGGTGGTTGACAGTTGTTTTGAGTTCCAGATGTTCTTCAGTTGTAAATATGCTGTTTTTCCTTTGTCGATCCACGCCTTCACATCCGTATGTAAAGGTTTTTACATTCTCCAAAGCTTCTCCGTCAAGTGTGATTCGATTGTTGTATGTTGTGTTGTATCGGAGAATCGTGCTTTTTCCTTTGTGTTTATTGAGACCTACTGCAGCTGAGCCTACTGCTACACTGGTCGTCTTCTGCATTTGTTGTTGCGTTCGCGATAGAAGAGCCATATCATCTGCGAGGTCTAGATCGTCTAGCTGCATCACAGCTGTCCACTGTATGCTGTGCTTCTCCCCAGATGTTGACGTCTTCATGATCCAATCGATCATTATATTATATTTTTGACGTTTCATGACTTCTTCAAAGCAAATAAATAACCAAAACCATGATATAATTTTCATTATATTATTTACACTTGTATTAATTTTACTTCTGTTATTTATTTACTCTGAAGACTAATACTAAATTACGAAACATCTGAAGTACAATTTTCTACTTATTGGGATAACAAAAAGAGAAGAAACTATTGATTATAACCTTTTTACTAAATGTTCGATTTATTTGAAACGATTATGTTCAATCTTGGCATTGAGATCTATTAGTTTGTAAAGTTTTTACTACTATCAGGAGAAATTATACGATAAGGTTTCTTCAGTTAACGGTTTGTTTGGCTTCCGTTTGTTAAATAAGATATGCATGATATACAATTACCTTGACAAATAAAAGTTGTTCAGTTTTCTGGATGTGGATGATATGTAAATTCACTTGGAATGATTTTAGGCTTCTTTAATAAATTTCACCTTCATAGTCATTTTTACATTACCTGTGATGTATATGCTTACTTAATAACCCTCTTCAGGAATAACAACCCTAGCATTAAATTGTACATTACGAAATTAGTTCACTTAGGAATTATTGCGAGAAACCTGATTTTATCTATCGAAAATAAATAGTCTACTTTCGTTGATCTAGGTACTAAACATTAAAAAAGAAACGTACTGTTATAGAAACACAGTGATCCCTTATTACTGTCTACAGTCCACTCAGTAAAATTTGAAGTTACCGATTGGAATTTCATTGAATGATAGTAAAATAATTTATGGGGGAGTAGTTGTTGGCACTCTATTACAAGAAATAAAGAATGGAGTGATTTTTTTTCTAAGAAAAAAAAAGACAGTTGTTACTTTACCTCAGATTTACCAAGAAATAACGATTTACTAAATCAATATAGGCTATTTTACTTCCAACCAATCATGTTATCGGTGTGCACATTGAATATATATACTTGTACGCGCGCACAGACACAATGGTATTCACAAAATTGATATGAACATTGTAGATTTGTCCACAGACAAAAGAGGTCAGGCTATGCAATGATAAGATTGGTTAGGTTTTATTATGTGTAACAGAGGCAACAAAATCCTATTTGACTATTCACGTGTATTCTTCCTCTGTAATCAATAAGTTTTCTTCTCTCTCTCTCTCTCGCTGTAACCCATTCCGGTTTAAAAAGTAAGGGAAGACGACATTCAACCTAGTCACACAAACATAGTCAATTTTTCCAAAGTTTCGATCTCGCGCAAAATATTTTATTCAGGGATTTGTTTTTTTAAATCTGTGAAAGTGAAAACATTTGCGCTTTTGCTAACATCATAAGTGAATATCTTTCTACTATTTAACACAAGTAAAATAAGCTATTCGTTGAACTGTGTAATACTGTGCAGCATTTGTGACATAATAACCAATTTGGAAAGTTATTAAATTGATTAGTAATATTTCTTGAATTCAAAAGGTGAGTGTAATATTTATTTAGTTTTAATTTAATATAATCGTTAAAATAATGCATTACAAATTCATTAATATTGTATAACATAAACCATAGAATTTCAGTTTAATCCTGTAGGAGACCATCGTTGATCATCATTGAAATGTAAAGATGCAAGAACCAAACAGTTGATAAATAGTCTTCAGATGATGGTTGGAGTTAGTTGACAGGAAACCCTGGATCCGGGTTTCGTGCTACTTAGCACTCGTCAGCAAGGTGTACCTGTAATCTAATCTCAATATATAGTGCACGCAGTGTTGAGTTACCTAGACTGGTGACCACATTGCAACATGGTCGATAGCATTCGATCTGCACTAAATAAGGACTTGACACACATGACATTGATCACCACCCAGTGATCAATCAATTGTGATAAATAGTCTTCCTTCCAGCGACTACTAGAATGTTTAATGAATACAATATTCTATAATCATAAAATCATTATGACCGTTCTTATTATTATAATTACCTGGCTTCTGTAAGTCGTCATTCGGTTTATCTCTTATATGGTTTACAATGTATAGCTTCAATATTCATAAGATGATGAGTTTAATGGACTATCAAAATTGTTTGATACATTTATCATTGCCCTGCCAAGAAATTGTGATCATTTTGAAACCATTTCAAAATATTAAACTACATATTTAAGTGAATTAATGTTAAGCAGCTGATTATATAATCGTCTAAACTCATTAAATCTGAATTTATGTTAACTGGCACTTAACACTAATAAAGAATATTCACAATTTCCCTCTAAGAGTGATTTGAATCCGCTATACTCAATATTAGAGTTCGAGTTGTTATCATTGAACCATGTTTATGTCGTCACACATACATAAGGAAGAGCAATCGTGATCTCAAAATTAGGGAGTGTGAACATATATCAAAATGGTTGCAGAAAAAAATGGAATCAAGTGACCCAATAAGAGTAGAGGATAAACATCCATCATCCTCTATTGCCAAACACATAATTGAAACAGGTCATAAGATTGATCTTAACTCGGCATTTGTGGTGTTGTATAAAAGTGAAAAAGGGTGTATACTAAGGTTTATTGAAGCCTTAGCCCCACGAAAACTCACACCCCCTTTGTGTATTCAGAAACAGTTCGTTCTCACCTTAAACCTACCCTGGTAATATTGGCTTATTAGCCAGAGTGATTGGGTTTCAAATAGTTTTCACATTATTATTATCCCTGTCTCCTCTTACCCCAAATTCCAGTCTAGTTGACCTTCTATTCATATACATAAATGTTCTTAACAAGTATATGTGTGATCAGTTTGTTCGAAATGTATTACATAGTTCTGATAATCCTCGTCTTCTTATTACATTATCGGAACCATTATGTGCCTAATAATGTTTTGTCTAGTTTGAAAATGTTAAAAAGGTAATTACATTCTTCAATGGTTCTCAGAGCAGTGTTTATTTATAAGCAAAGATGGATAGTGGCTAGCAGTGGGATGCAGAACACGCATTTTGTCCTATTTAGGAACAGTCAGCTGGATGTACCTATAACTCAGAGTTGATGTTCACTCTGGGATTCGAACGCAGTACTGTTCACTTCAAACGCCATCTCATTATCCACTTAGCTACTGAGTCCTGAAAGCCACTTGCTTGTGCAATCGGGCAAAGTTTAAATTCACTTGGTGTTGTTTACTTGAATCTTCTCATTGAATTAAGGCAATATCGAGGCAATACATACAGTACGCACATATACCAATAAAAGATTGATCAATTGCAGTTCTAAACTACAATGGAAAGATTCAAATAAACAATACCAAGTGAATTTAATGTTTATTAAGTTAAATATACTACAGCAATATGATTGATATCAGATGGGTTTTGTGGATAATATAGTAATTTCAATGGTTAAGATCATTATGATTGATTCCATTTTAATAGTTAGTAGTATTATAGGTCATAAAAGGAATTTATTAAAATTATTATATTTCCTGAATATACATATTTTTTTCTAGGAAATTATGGTAATATATATATGTATATATATGAAGCTTCTATTAGGTTTTGATGTTCTGAGTTTAAATACAATTTCTTATTCTGATCTGATCTGATAAACTAAGCTTGAATAGGACTGTTTGTAGTTGGTTACTTACTTTACTTACTTAGGCCTGTTACTCCCAATGGAGCATAGGCCGCCAACCAACATTCTCCAACACACTCTCTCTTAAGCTTTCTTTTCTAGTTCCATCCAATTCTTGTTCATTTTTCTCATATATATCTCCATTTGTCAGCGTAATGTGTTCTTTGGTAAATTGATGTGAATAGTAATGTGAAACTATACTATAAGTAAGGAATTTTGTTATAACTTTAACATTAATTCTTAATTTAGTGGACGGGTTCATTTGATTCAAAAGTTTTTAATATCCTCTTAGACGATAGTACCATGTGCTATTTCACTTTTGCTTTAAGTAAATGTTGAAATCGAACGTATCACCATAAAAAAGCATCTATATAAGATTACAAATATGTATCTAGTAGAAATGTACATCTTGTATTTTGCCAAATAAAGCAAACACACACTTACGTAAATACTAATTGGAAAGTATTATTTGTAATAATTACATCAAGGAAAGTAATGTGTCTATATGGTATATGCTACTTATGCTGACAGATATAAGTAGTATGTAGCATGAATCGAAAGTGGATCGCCTGTCAGCAGATGGTTGAAATGAAGAGAACAGGTAGGAAATCGGTGAGCAGTCGAAATAACAATAGAATTAGAAGAATAATGGAGTAAATAAAGGACAATGCAAAGAAGCTGTGCAAATGATGTATTTAAAGTATAGTTTTCATATTTTCAGCACCTGAGTTTCGGTTCACTACATATTTATGTAAACATTATATATCACTTAGCGGTTTCGAACCGATTATCAGTGCTTCACTCAGATAGTCTAAATTTTAATTGTGACTACTGAACTCGTGAAAATAAGCATTGAGACAATATCATTCCATAATATTTCACACAGTTTTCGGAATTATTATTATTTTAACACATAGATATTGGTACAAGAAGACACCAAATACATATGCGCCACACAAATATCATTCAATATGTGTGAGGGCTGTATTACTGCCCGGGTGCCCAAACCGAAGCAGGTGGTTATCTCAGGGGGCCACTCCCCGAGCCTTCGACCTGAAGGTCTAACCCACAAGGCAATGGAGCATCGTGAGGAGATGCAGTCCCATGGTAGCCGGTGACCAACAATTGGTTCATACGCCATTTGTTCCCTCAGGATACTGGAGCCTATGCGCACCATTGGTTTGGAATCCGGTTAAAGCGCCGGCCATTCGCTTTTCGTCCTTTCAATTTTGTAGACAACAGTAATGCCACGAGAAGGCAATGAGTAGGACTTCCCTGTCAGAGGCTATATACGCGTGGCCATGTGAGAGCATTTGTAGAGGGAGAGCGGACTCTCCCCACTCTCGGCCATACCAGGGCATTTGGGGGCTTACTTGTTATTATTATTATTATTATTATTATTATTATTATTATTATTATTATTATTATTATTATTATTATTAGTAGTAGTAGTAGTAGTAGTAGTAGTAGTGGTAGTAGTAGTAATAGTTTATTATTTTGGTTCAGTTTATTAAATTGTGTCGATCACTCAATAAATAAGAGAAGTTTATACAGATAAATGAAATTTAAATGTGTAGGTAATATTTTTTATGATATCCATGTGATGTGTACTACTCATGTTGACAAATATAAGTAATATGTCGGTGGAACACATATATCGTATGTATCATCAATCGAAAGTGAAATAAATGACGGTAGAAGGTTAGGAAGATTAAAGAGAAGAGAACGAGAACAGAGAATGATTGGTGTGGAAGCGAAGGAACAATCAAGTCTGAGACGATTGACTGACATTTTGCAAATGAAATATTTATTGTATGGTTCTCATTATTTTACTATCATATTATGTAATTTTGTATTCAAGTACATTTGTTTGTTCCCGGTTTTGTTCTTGTTTCACTACATTCCTACTGAAATTAATTCTTGTTTGGAAATCACTTGAAAAGATATGTTATATCAAACCACTAAAACCAAATGTTTGTTAGACTTTCTATATTACTGGTTAACCCTTATGAAAACAGAAACTTACATTCAATGTTCAAAGTAAACAATCAAATATATTTCAATTCAAAATTGATTAAGGTTTATGAAGATACGAAAAATTAGATTATCCATTTTAAGAGCGTATTTATTATACGAAACCAATGAACTATTTCTAGAGCAGAAATTAAATATACCAAACGCGTATATTGTTATTTTATACTTACTAGTATGTGTTGAGAGACAAGTAGTGTAGCAGCAGCCTCTGAATCTGTGGGCCTCAAAATACACAAAGGAAAAAGCAAGATCCTCAAATACAACACAGAGAACAACAACCCAATCACACTTTATGAAGAAGCTCTGGAAGATGTGGAATCTTTCACTTACCTGGGAAGCATCATTGATGAACATGGAGAATCGGTTGCAGACGTAAAAAAGAGGATTAGCAAAGCGAAAACCGCATTCCTACAATTGAAGAACATATGAAACTCAAAACAACTGAAACTTTCACAATTACCACAACCATCATCAAAAATGTACAAGTATTTATAAATATTTACGTGAGATATTCAATATCCGTTGGTCGGATACCATCAGCACCAGCCTACTGTGGGAGAGGGAAAACCAGGTTCCAGCTGAAGAGGCAATTATGAACAGACGTTGGAAGTGGATAGGATACACATTGAGGAAACTATCAAACAGGATCACGAAGCGAGCGTCAACTCGGAATCCTGAAGGGAAACGGGAAAGAGGAAGGCCGAAGAGCATACTACGTCGGGAACTGGAAGCAGATATGAAAAGGATGAATAGCAAGTGAAAAGAACTGGAAACGATTGCCCAGTACAGGGTTGAATGGAGAGTGCTGGTGTTCGGCTTATACTCTTCGACGAG